CCCCAAAACCCCAAAACCCCAAAACCCCTGACTTGGTTAAGAATATTGAGTTTTATGTTGGAATTAATAATATGCAAACCATCCAGAATTTAGGTTTAGACTTGTAGAACCAAGGTATAGTGGTGTGTGTACAAATATGTTCGATGATATTCAACCCTGGCTCTCTAGGTCTTTTGGGACAAGAAGAAGCGCTAGCCTTCCTAATATGTAAATTTAGATTCCTTAAAGAAGCGAACGTCCTTTAATTTTTTGATACCTGAATTTTATTTTAGAATTTTTATGTGGTTGAGGTATAATCAGCTTGATTTGAAGTTATCCTTCTTAATCACTTGCATGATGGGGTCTGAGCATAAAAATATTCCTAGACCTAGTTTTAATTTGAAATTTAATAATACTTAGTATCAAGCCTACAAATCTCTTAAAATGGAAAACAAATATATAGTGCTTCAACTCCAAGAGTCTTGGCTTTATATTTGATAATCCTATTTAAAATAGAATTTGAGGAAGAATCTCTTCACCAAGGATGCCTTTGTACGAATTGATATGATAATTTTTACCAAATAACTTGAATCTCTTAAGGTCAGTATCTCTTCATGCCGATGTATAAACTCTGTGGATGTTAAAGAGCTAGATGTCATCTCTAGATGCACTTAATCATGACTCTGAATTATCAAAGTTTGACTTAATACAAAAATTAGAGTCAATTCTATTTACTTTTTATTAATAAATATTTATCTTTGGCTTTGTGCTCCTCCTAAATATTTAAGCTCCTAAATTTCTGATTTGGCAAGAACAGCACTAAATGGAAAGTTGCTTTATGCGTGAGTTTGGATGGAAACTAAGCAGCAAGAGTTGGGACAACCATTGGCCTCCGAGGTAACTACAAAAAGGATGCAACTGGGGAAGTATCAGCGAGGATATAACTCGTTCATTCAGTCAGACATTTACTGGTGTTTTTAAGAAATTTAGCAGTACGGTAATCACAGTTATTCATACTTATGAGTCATTACGAAATTTCCTGTTTTCATATTTTCTATATGGCCTATTTACTGTAGAGGTTAATGAATGCAACTTCTTGATGAGCTCTTATTAAAAAGACTTTAAAATGCTTATATAAGTACTATTTCGAACTTAAACCCTAGAAGTGTAGGCTAGTGTAATCCCAGTACTACTTCTTGAATGAATCTTATGAATAACTTTATTTCAAAGATGGCTTATTTTGATCGACCAATTTGCGAATTATTTACTAAAGTAAAGATGACTTCTAGCTAGAAACCAATCAAAACAATGCATCAAAATTCCTGCAGAAATACAGTTAATAATGATTCTTTGGATTAGAGTCTAACTGTTTCATTAATTATTGATGCAAGTTTTTTTAAATAATAATCTAAATTCAGGGTTCATCATATACTACTTTTTTATCATATCAGAAAAGAGTTGATGATCTCTAGTGAACAAGAGACTTAAGACTAGCAATGCTTGCATTGCTATGATAAAAGAATCAATGACAAATGAGCTGCCTTCTTTCAACGCCAAGTCTTGTATTATTTATCCTGCTTTACGAGATTCGGTTAAAATTTTCTCGGAAAACAATTAAAACCTGTTTTATGGTATAAGCCTTATGGAAATACTAGAACTTAAAGCCTTAGGTTAACTTGTCAGGACTCGTCTATGAAGTTCAAGATTGTTTTATCACAGATTTCTATAGTTCCAGAACTGTCAGATTTTACTAAGACTCTTGGAACCAGTATGATCATAAACTAGGAAATAATATTTGAAGTAGTTTAATTATGAAAAGTTATATATTCCAAAGAGACGTTCCTCTTCTTTCCAGAAATCAATTTATGTCAGTAGCACTTTGAGAATTTGGTCGGAAGGAATTCTCCTCAGCAGCTTCTTCTCTTTATCTGCAAGGTTCAGGCCGTTCCACTTTGAAGAAGTCTTAACGTTATATGTGTTAGGTTTATAATCTCCTAGCTTCCTCTTAGTTTTCCGCTTTACTTTCTGTTTTTGAAGCTTTCCAGCAACTGCTTCATCACTAGGCTTGATTCTTCAAAATTCAGGGCTGCCTATACTCTCTAGTACTTCTTCAAAGTCAGCTTTGTTTGAACTACCTTTGTTATCCTTCAGAGTATTCTCAAATTGCTTCGTGAAGTGAGGCATTTGAGGAGTACATTCTTCTTCATCGATCTGGTCTGGGCAATCCCAGATGTCTTTAGGAACCATTGATGCTTTAATGATGCTTTGTGAATTCATTTCCTTAATTATTATTTATTCCCTTCAGTATCCCTTTAACTAGGGGTTTTGGGGTTTTGGGGTTTTGGGGTTTTGGGG